GGACTGTAACATAAATTAAAGAGATCAGATGGAGAAACCATGTTCCATCTTTACTGAAGAGTGGAGCTCCGGGAAGAAGCCCAGGAGGAAGGCAAGGGTGAGCTAGCACAGGACACTGTAGGATGGTGTTTGGGGTGAACTGGGGACACAATATGCTGTGACACATTAGATCTTTGCTGTTTCTTCTTTTTTCTCTTATTTCCCAACCTGGATTTGAGGAGGGAGAGGGCCGGGTTGAAAGAGGAACCATAAAATTTTCTAGGAATTACAAAGGAGCCCAATGAGCACAATATGCTGTTTACAACAAAACTAGCTAAAAAATAAAGACATAGGCATGTTGACACTCTACGATGCAGTAGAAAGATTTATCATGCAAACATAAACCAAAAGAAAAGTGGAATGGAAGGTAGATTAGAGCAAGGAAAACTTCCCTCAAAAGTGATGGACACTTATTAAGTTAATTCATCAAGAAAATAATACAATTCCAGATGTGTATGCAACCAACAATTTCATAAATTTATGCACAGTTTTTGCCTTTATAAAATGTTACCTATATGAGGTATTATAAAAATATGGCAAATTCAGCCTGGGGATTTAGCTCAGTGGTTCTGGCTCCTGCCTCCCAAGCGCAAGGTCCTGAGTTCAATCCCCAGTAACCCCCCCCCCCCAAAATACAGAGAATTCTTAAATTCTTTGAAAAATGCATTATGGCAAAAAAACACATGGCCATTCATTTCCCCAAAATACCCTCTTCAAGTCAAACACACTCATCCCCTGGTTCATTTCACTTTCTGTAACAGATCTGGAAGTTCTCCTGCATGAGTGTCTTTAGTGGCACTTTTGTGGCTACCGTGATGTCTTGGATAAATTGAAAACTTTTACTTTTCATGGTCATTTTTCAGTTTGAGAAAGAGCCCGAAATTTCACAGCGCCAGTTCTGATGAATATAGTGAATGAGGACACAATGTTGTGTTTCTACAAGTCTTTTTGTCAACAGCTTTCATTCAATATTTTATGTTAATCATACCTCATATGATCACTCACGAAGTGTTCCAGACGTGTTTCAGTAAGTGGCAAGGAGAATTAGATAAGTGTGTTCAAAATGAAGGGGATTTTGACAGGGATTAATGGCCATGTGAATTTTAATGTAATAAAACTTTTTAAAAATTTAAATACATTGTACTTTCTGATCACCCCTTCTTATTATCATATTTGTTGTTAAAGAAAATTGAAAGTATATGTACATGCATAAACCTCCAGCCATATATTCCTAGCAAGACTATTCCTTCATAGCCAAAACATAGATAAAAATAATCCAAATGGCTATTAACTGCAGTATGGATAAATAAAATGTGGTACATCTATGTAATAAAATATCACTCATCTGTCAAAAGGAAAGGAGATCTAATACCAGGTATGACATGACCAAACTTTGGAAACTATGCAAATAAAATTGTTCAGGGTAAAAATTTCCCTCTGATGTAAACACCTCAAAGGCAGATACCCACAGGGGCAACTGTAATCAAAATATTCATGTAGATTTTCTATACTTTCACATTTTCTGAGCATATATGTTGCTGGAAGCAATCTGCCCAAGCTTTTACAGACGTCTGGCCTAAAGTCAGACTTACTGGGCAGACACTTTCCTCTCGGGCATCATATCCATGCTTCGAATGTTCCTACACTGACGTTAGGTTCCACCTCTTTATTCAGGAAGTGTCTGCCAGGTTTTCCACAATGTTACTATTTTTCCTTTGTAACTGACAACTATCTCATGGAGAAGGTAACAGCAGACTATACGGGTATGATTTTCTCCAAGTCTTAACATCCTTTCATGGCCTCTGGGAGACAAAAATTATGAGAATTGGCAAATACTAAATTTTCAAAACCTACTCTCCTCTTTTGTGTGTTTATGAAGGTTTTTTTATCATTAAAAAACCTTTACTTTTGGGCCGGGGATTTAGCTCAGTGGTTTCGCCACCTGCTGCGCAAGCGCAGGGACCCAAGTTCAAGCCCCAGTACCAAAAACAAAAAACAAAACACAAAAAAACCTTTACCTTCAACCTTATTTATGCACTAATTCATTTGTTCATTCAGAGTACTAATGTAATAATATTATAAACATCTTACCATCATTAATCAGTTTTTTCATCCTTAGAGTTTTCACTCATCTCAGCTTTTCCAAGGAATATTATTTGGGGTGTCATCATCAACCCAAGCACATGCAGAAATGCCACCAGAGCTTCCTGGGCCAAGGAACACTTAGAAAGCCCTCCAACTAGAAGTTGAGTGTCCTTCAACACCCAGGGCCCCGCCACTATGCCCTGGAACACCGTCCACACAAAAACTAAGCCCCTGGGCGTTCTCTAGCCTGTGGGAACTGTGGTCCTAAGGGTCTTCACATAGACAAGGCTGTGGGAGGAAATGCTTACCGTCCTCAGCTGTGCACAGGCATCATCAGGAGGGCACAGGCTGGCAGTACTGCACAGCTCCTGCAGGCCCCAGGAACCAGGCCTACCCAGCAGAAGGCATCCATGCCATGGCAAATCCCCTTATATAGCGTAGATGGAAGAACCACACGTGAGTGTAGGGCAAGGGACCAATTCCAGCAATGCCATGCCATCCTGGCCTGCAATCTCAGCCTATCTTCTGCTTACCCTTGGTGGCATACCTCAGGAGCTGTGTTTTTCCAACCATGTACATGCAGGATGAATGTGTCTGGGCTTGAGAGGGGTAGGGCTGTCTGCTCTGACTATCCTCAGCCCCTCCCCTGGCCCTCACTGTCCTCTCAAACCCAGCTGCAGCCCCTGAAATGGCACAGGAGCACACCTAGGGGCCTAGGTGTGCCAATGGCATGCCAACTCCAACCTCCTTGGCACACCAATCACATCTAAAACTGCCAGTCCACAGGACATCGCTGATGGAAGGACCACACACTGACTGAATGAACATGCACTGTCTCAGTAGAAGTGGCCAGGGTGGGGGACACTGAATGGGTAGAGCAGTGCCCTTTCTCGGGAGAGACTTAAACCCTGTTTCCTTGACAGGCACAACCTGACATGGAAGAGAAACCATGGCCGCAAGCCGTAGTATCCCAAGCTACTAATGCAGATATCTCTTCCAAAGACGCTGGTCTGAGGACAGTGGCAAGAATGTGACCTGCCACAAGACAATACAACTTCCTGCCACTGAAATATGGGACACTGGGTTTTCATCAGGACATCCAAAATAGGCTTGAGAAAGGCCAAGTTTGTCCTGATAGCCTGCCAGCCATGGTGGGCGGAGATGGAAAATTGATTTCTACATCCCTGCCTCACACCAATTGCCCTTCTGCATTGAACCTCCAAAAAGAACTCCATCACCCACAAAGTCTGACACAATGGGCCCCTCATGCCTACAACGTGCACACACACAGAACACCACAAACACTACGTGTATGTGGGCTCTATGGCTCAAACCTGCCTCAGGTAAGCAGCCTGGCCAGAAACAGCATGCTTGTCTGTGGGATCCAAGATCTCCACACACCCTGGGACACCTCACACCTGTCCAGTAGGGCAGCTTGAGGATGAAAATGAGCAAGCTTTTCTTGCACCTTCCACATTCCTCAACATCACCCTGGGTTAGATGAATGTGGAGCCCAGTGGGGACATCAACCTGTGGGAACAGGACTTCAGAATCAACAGGCTGAACATGGTCGGATTCAGATGACCGCATAGGCCCACACTGTCATAGAGGAGGGACAACAGAGAGTGACACCTGTCAGCAAAGACATCTCTTGAAAGTGCACTCATAAACAGGGCCACATTTTTACTTCAACCTTCCTGCTTGGACAGCTGGCCCTGAAGGGTACACCAAGTGACTTCTGCTTGCCAGGCAACAGGAAGGCAACCCTGGAACACAGTGCTCTCTGATCTTTAATAAAATAGAACTATTGCCAACAGGAGGCATGGGTCCAAATTGACCCTAACCCTTTCCAAGATACTCTCCTTCCCAGGGGGAAGAACAAGGGCCAACCACAGACTGCCAGGGACAGAAACACCAAGGGTTCCATCTGAGGACTTGGGGTGGTGCTTGAAGTGGAGCTCCACACAACCTCTCCATGACACTTGCTCTGGGGTTACCTGACCAGATGGCCTGAAGTCAAGGCTTCCTGTACTTTCTGACATCATGGCTATCTGTGTGCCACACCAGCCCAGCATGAGCCTAGAAGTGAACGCATTTTTCTCTCCAGGATTGGTATTGAGGAGGTGCCACCTGTGTCTGCTTACCATTTCATTTTCCAAAAGCCATCAGTGGAAGTCCTTTCCAGTCACCTAACTCAAGGACAGCATGACCATGTCCTCCAGGGCTAGAATAACCCTCTCCCAGGAAAATGGAGACATGGCCCTGTGCAGAGTTAGGGTCTCCAAGAGTGCCCACCAATTGGAAGCACTTTGTACACCACCCAAACAAGGCACAGGGGAAACTGGCTAAGGGATGGCGCCCATCCATTCGATTAAATTGACCACATGCAAGCAACTTATGGATCACCTTTACTCAAAACTCACCTAGCAAAGCCCACCCATCTTGAGGACTTGTTCTTCAGACCCCTGGGGACACTGTGGCTGACCAGCAATGAACCTCTGGGTGGTGAAAGGAATGGAAGCACCCCCATGTAGAGCCCTGCTCCTGCAGTCCCTGCCTGAGGCTACATGCCGGACCTCAGTCGCAATGAGAGAGATGGTTTGCAGTTCTCACTCATTTTTTCAGCTCTCAGGGATGTAACTAGGGTATCATCATCAATCTAAGCACACTCAAAGATGCCACAGGTGTGTTTATCAGTCAAACTGAAGACTAGGAAGGGCCCAGAGGACCCAGGGCCCTGCTACCATGCTCCAGGAACACATAGTCCAAGTGAGGTGTGAACTGCCAGAGGTATAGCCGGCCTGTGGAGGTCCAGGGCTGGTTGAAGCTACAAGGCCATCAGGAAACATCTACATCTTGTGGGAAGAAATACTTACCATCATCAACAGTCCACACGTACAGAGCTCATCGACAGGACATAAGTCTTACAGCAACTGCCTGGAGTCACCAGGAATGAGAAATCTGGCACATGCAGTGATGGATGACCAGTCTCAGCAGCTGTCCTTGAATCGTGGAGATGGAAAACACCATGTGTGAGAGAAAGAAAGGCTACTGCTGCGCCGATCCCACATGGCGCTGGCCTTTGTTCTATGTATGTCATCTATTTGTCCTTCCTGTGATACCTCAGGAGCTTTCCTTGAGTAAGAGTACCTTTCCTTCTGTGTGTACCCAGGACAGACATGGTGTGGGATTCCCTGTGTGAACATGTTTCATGCCACTGACTGAGGGCAGGGGCATCATTCCCTCAAAACACACAGCTCCCCCTGCACACACTGGACCCCGCAACCTGCCCCTGGCTCCTGCCTCACCATAGCAGCTCACCAAGCGCCCTCTACTTACAACATGCCATATGCCATTTCCAGCCATCTGGGGACCGTGAACAAGGCCACCATCTCTCCCTTCAAAGACCACCTCGGCTGGAGGGAAAGCAAGCTCACTGGATGTGAGACCTCTGAAGGCGGGGTGGGAGTCAGAGTAGGGTGTCCTACATGGGTTAGCCTTGACCCCAGTTTCCTCTTCCTGGAAAAACAAACCTAATGTGGAGTGCAGACAATGGCCACCAGCTAGAGAGGGCCACGAATGCAGACATGTTGGCCAGGGAGGCTGGCCTGAGGACAGAAGTGGGTCCCAGTCCTCCACAAAATGTATGCAACCCACTTCCACTGAAGCAGGGGACACTGGCTTATTAGTGTGTCCAAAAAGGACTCAAACAATGACAAGCAGCTACCACTTGCCTGCTAACAATAGAAAGAGACAGAAAATCACTTTTCAGGGCCTTTCTGTACTCACAAAAAGTACACTTGTTGTCTGGCCTTCATAGTAAAATTCTATCACCCTCAAAGCCTGACCCAATGATCCCTATCATGCCTGTGGCCCACAGACATGACACAATACCCCAAAGCCAATGTGCACATGGCCTCTAAGGCTCAAACCACCTCATGTAAACCATGTGGCCAGACACAACAGGTCCCAACATGGTGGTCCACAGAGTACACCCAGTCCAGGACAGCTTAAGCACTCCATCAAGCAGGTTAGGAAGAAGTGGGGAAACAGAAGCTTCCCAACAACTCTCAGTTTGATTTACATCACCCAGTGGGGAGCCCAACCAGTGGGCACTGCTTCAGGTCCAGCACCCTGAGCAGAGTCCTACTTGGGCAAAAGCCAATGTCACCCATGCCCAAGCAGGCCAACAGTAACTGTGCAAGGTGATAGGAAAGGACAACACTCATCCACTGAGAGATCTCCCAACAGAACAGACACAAACACAGACATTCAACTGCCACAACCATGTAGCTTGGACAGCTGGCCCTGAAGAGCAGGGCAAGGGGCCTTTTCTTGCAAGGAAACAGCAAAGTAATCCTGAGGCAAACTTGCTCCATGACCTTTAGCAAAAACCAACAACAGCCTCCAGGGGGAGCCACAAGACACACAGACCCTCAACCTCTTCCTGCTATTTCCCATGTGGAGCCCTAGGGCTACCCACAGACGGCAGACGACAGAAAATTGAAGGGCCTCTTTTGCAGGTTCAGGGCGTGGATGTGTGACACACAGTGCATGGTGTGGAGTCCCAGCCCATGTTCCAGACACTTGCTCTGGGTTACCCTGCCCAAAGGAGCTGAGGTTGGACCCTCCTGGAACTTCTGACATCCCAAATGTTTTTGCCCCCTATCAATGATGAGCCCCAGTGGAATCACTCTGCCTCCAAGTCACTCTGAAAGGAAGCCCCCAGGTGAGTTGAGTCCCCCGTTCGTGTTCCACTCACATTATCAACCTAAACCCTCGCAGACAACACCACCTTCTCCATAATGGTTGGGTCTGCCCTCTCCATGAAAATGAGGCGTTGGCCCTGAAAGTCAAGGCTCGCAAGGCCACCAATTGGAAGCACTATACTGCCCGAAATATGTGTTGCAGTAAAGTCAGCAAGGCCTTTCCAAGGTGCCCCTTGCCAATTCAGATAACACACAGGTGGGAATGCATTTAACCCAGGTCTCACTTAGCTGGGCAAGCCCACTGAGCACACGTTCCTGAGGCCCCTGGGGACAGGAGGCTGCCCTGTGACCAATCCCTGTGTGGTCTGGGGAATGTGAGTGTGTGAACATGGACTCCTACTCCTAGAGTCCCCGTTGAGGCGACATGCCGGACCTCAGTCACGATGAGAACGACGGTTTGAAGTTCTCACTCATTTTGTTCAGCTTTTCCAAGGAATGATTTTGGGGTATCATCATCGATCCAAGCATGTGCAGAGGTGCCTCAGCTGCCTGCCAGTCCAAGGGGACTGGACACGCCCTCCACCTAGGAGACCCTGGGAGGCCCTGGGTGACCCAGGTCTGAGCCACTGTGGCCCAGAACACCATCCACATGACAACTGAAGCCCTATGGGCAGTTTCCAGCCTGTGGATGGAAGTCTTGGGGACTCCACAAGGTCTGCGTAAGACATTTACAGGATATGGGAGGAAATACTTACTATTCTCAACCATCCTCAGGTGTGGAGATCATCAAGAGGACACGAGACTTGCAGCCTCCAAGGCTTCTCTGTCCTCAGGAACCCAGGAACACTCAGCTGAAGGCTGGCCTACCAAGGAAACTCCTGCTGCTTAGTGGAGACAGAAAAAACCATGAGTGAAGCCAGGGAAAGGCATCTATATCATGGATCCCACACGGCCCTGCCTCACTCTATCATCTGTCTGCTTTCAGGGGATACCTCAGGAGCGTCCCACATGGATGAGTGTGTTTCCTTGTGTGTACACACAGGACAACTATGGGTGCATTCGACTGCATGTGCCTGTCTCTAGCTAAGATGGGTGGGAAGGATAGCCCTCGGCTCATCCCTGGACCCTCGTTATACCCTGAAACCCGGCCCTGGCCCCTGACAAATCACAGTAGCACAGCAAGGGGCCTCAATAAACCTTATGCCACCTCCCACCCATTCAGCACACCCATCGAGGCCCTGGACTCCCACTCCAAGGGTACCAGTGATGGAGGGACCCCATGCTGTCTGCATAGCCATGTACCACACTGAAGGAGTGGTGGGGTTGGGGGTTGGGGTAGAGAGTCCTTTTGTGGGTGAGACTTGAATTCTGTTTCCTCAGCAGGGAAATACTATCACAGCAAAAGACAATGTGCACAAGCAGGTGAATTCTAAGCCACAGGTGGAGATGTCTCAGGGAGAGATACTTGGGACCGATCTACCATAAGACAAACACATTCCCCCCCCTTCCAGTGAAGCACACAACCCTGGCTTCTCATAAGGATGTCCCCCACAGTGTGGGGCAATGTCAAGCAGGTCCCACAGGGCTGCTGGCCATGAGGGGGGGCAGAAAATCCATTTCCAGATCTTCCCTCACTCACTTCAGGTGCCTTCTCCACTGGACCTCTGAGAAGACGTTCTATCACCCACAAAGCCTGACACAATGGACCTCCTACCGCCTACAACACAACAGAGAGGCTACATGCATGTGGCCTCTATGACTCAAACCCACCTCCAATGGACAGCCCGGCCAGACAGACCATACCTGATCTGTGGGGCCCAAGAGCGCCACACACCTTGGGAAGCATCACATCCTCCAACCAGCAGGGCACCTTGAGGATGAGCAAGAGAGATCTCTTCCAGTACTTCCCACCCTTGTTGACATCATGCTGAGTTAGACAAATGGGGAGCCCATTCAGTGGCGACTGGACTTCTGGGTCCGTGGGCTGAGCATGGCCTGACATGGACATGCTCCAGTGTTCCACAGGCTCATGTAAGGCCAACAGTACCATGGAATGGGGAAACGAGAGAGTAACCCCTGACCGCAGAGAGATCTCCTAAAAAAGCACACAGGAACACGGCCACATCTCTACTGAAATCTTCCTGCTTAGATGGCTGGCCCTTAAGAAAACAAGAGTACCTGGGATTTAGCTCAGTGGCACCACGCCTGCCTCATAAGCGCAAGGTCCTGAGTTCAACCCCTGGTACCGCCCAAAAAAAGAACACAGCAAGGGACCTCTGCTTGCAAGGAAAGAGGAAGAGGAAGACAACTCTGGAGCACAGTGTGCTCTGTGACCTTTAGCAAAATGGAACTGTGGCCACCAGAGGAAGCCATAGGCCAAACTGACCCTCAACCCCTACCAGCTACACTAGGACAGGCTGCCAGGGACAGAAAAACCAAGGGCACATTCTCAGTGGCAGGATTTGGGGGATGGGAGAAGAACCACACCAAGCAGATGATGTGAGCCTCACAGAGTCTCCCCGTGACATCCGCTCTGGGACTTCCTGGGCACAGGGACCAAAGTCAAAGCCTCCTACAATTCCCAACCTAGTTGCCACCAACAGTCAAAGGTGAGCCCAAAAGTGAACATTCTTCCGTCCAGGACTGGTGGTGAGCAGCTGCCACATATGACTAGTCACGGGGTCATGTTCCATATGCACCATTACCCAAGACCCTGTCCACAGTCAGCGAATTCCTTCTCCTTAAGGGCTGGTCATGCACTTTCCCAGGACAATGAAGACAGGCCCTGAGCAGAGTCAGGGCTCACTAATGCCCAGCAATCGGAGGCACTAACAATACCAACCAAAGATGGGCTCCAGGGAAACTGGTGAAGTCTTCAGCATCTGTTCCCACCACAAATTGACCACTCATGAACATGTCATGTATACTTCAACCCAAAACTCAAGTAGCTGGCTCCAACCCACTGAGGACATGTTCCTAAGAACCTGGGGGCATGGGCCTAACCAGGGATGAACCCCGTGTGGTAGAAGGAACGTAAGCATCTCAAGTGCAGCCTTGCTCCTGCAGTCACTGTGTGGGGCAGCATTCTGGACCTCAGTCATGATGAGAGAGACGGTTTAGAGTTTTCACTCATTTTGTTCAGCTCCAAGGAATGTAACTGGGGTGTCATCATCGATCCAAGCACACTTAAGGATGCCACAGGCATATTTGCTGGTCTAACAAGAGAAGACCTTGGAGGGCTTTAGGACACTGGACCCTGCCACCGTGCTCCAGGAACACATGGTCCACCTGAGGCATGAACACCCAAAGCCCATTTCTGGCCCATAGAGACCTAGGTCCTGGTGATGCTGACAAGGTCCTGAGGACAATATCTACCCCTTGCAAAAAGAAATGCTTACTGTCCTCACCCATCACAAGCACAAAGCCCATCAACGAGACACAATGCATGCAGCAACTTCACAGCTCCACAGGGACGAAGACATCAGGGACACACAGCAGACAGCACGCATCCCACAGCAACTCCCTGAATAATGCACAAGGAAAACTCCATATGTGAGGGACACGGAGGCATCCCGTTCACCCATGCAATGCCACCCTGGACTTTGCTCTAACTCTACCATCTGTATGTCTTTCCTGATACCTCAGAAGCTTCCTATGCAAAAGAGAACACTTCCTTCTCTGTGTGCAAAGGACAGACATGATATGGAATTCCCTGTGTGTGCACATTTCCTGCATTCAGCAAAATGCAGGTAGTGACTCCCTCAGCCCCTTCGCAGGAACACACTGCACACTACCGTACACCATCTCATGACAGCAGCATAAGGGGCCTCACTGGACAACATACCAACTCCAACACTTGGGGCACAAGGAACATGGCTGCCTTCTGCATCTTAAATGGGCAAATCTTCTGGAAGCATCACAAGCTCACTGAACAGGCATATCTGAATAACAAAGGCTGGATTGGGGAACTGGGTAGGGTATCCAACAAGGGTGAGACGTGACCGCATTTTCCCCTTCTTGGGAAAAAAAAAAAACAACATTGTGAAAGGCAAATAATGGCCACCAGCTGGAAATTCCAAGAAAATAAATGTGCACATATATGCCAGGGATGCTGACTACAGTGCATAATCAACAGAGCACATCCCTTGCAGCAATTCCATATCCCTTCTGGATCGCGCAACCAGAAACACACAGCTGAAGCCCAGCCAGCTGTGGCAACTCCTCCTAAGCAGCAGGGACACAAAACACCGTACATGAGGGAGACAAAGGCATCCATTCCAGCTATCCAGGGCCGCCCTGACCTTCGCGCTAACTCTGCCATCTGCTTGTCCTTCCTGTGATGGCTCAGGAGCGTCCCCCGCATGGGCCTACATTCTCTCCCTGATGCCCTGCGGCCCTCCCCAGGCCCTCATTGCAAACTGCAACCTGACCTGGGCCCTTCCTGGGCACAGCTGCTCACCGAGGGCCCTCGGCCTACAGCACACCATCTCCCATAACCTGAGGATGGCGAACGGGGGTGCCACCTCACCTTCAAGGGCCATACTGACAAGTCAGATCACAGGTGCTATGGACCTTTGAAGGCTGGGTGAGGGGATGAGGTGGGGTGCCCTACGAGGTGAGAAGAGACCCCTCCTTCACCCTTCTGGAAAAGCAGGCCTCACGTGGAAGGCAGACGGTGGCACCAGCTAGGGAATCCCAGGCCAGGAATGCAGACATGTCTGCTGCCCTGAGGACAGAAGCCGGGGCCCAATGTGACACAATGTGCATGCGACCCCTTCCACCTGGGAAGCAGGGGACGTGGGGCTTCTCAGTGGGGCATCCCCACTGGACTCAGGCGATGACAAGCAGGTACCACGGGACTGCCGACCCCAGGAGAAGGAGGAATACTACTTTCCAGGCTCTGGCCACACTCACAGCAAGCGTGCTTCTTCTGTGGACTTCCAAAGACAACTTCATCACCCACAAGGCCTGACACAGTAGCTTCCCTGGTGCCGGAGCCCCGCGCAGGCAACAGAATGCCTCCAAGTGACGAGCTTGGGACCTCTGCAGCTCAAGTCCGCCTCATGAGACCTGCGGGGCCAGACGCAGCATGGCCCCCTCTTTCTACAGGTGTCTGTGGACTCCACGCACCTTAGGAAAGCTCAAACCAGGCCGGCATCATGCCAGGGAGGCCCGCAGTAAGGCCAGCTGGTGGATACCTTCCATGGGGAGGCCAACCGTGGGGACTGGACCTCAGGGCAAGGGGGCTGATATGGGCTTGACGCAGACAAACGCCAACCCCACCCAGGACCGGGTAGGCCAGTTCCCTCGCGGCATAGGGACAGCAGAGAGCGACACCTGCCCACAGACACAACTCCCAGCACAGTACTCCGGAACACAGACACATTTCTCCTGCCCCAACGTCCATCTGGGAGAGCTGGCCCTGAATGGCACCAAGGGACCTCCTCTTGCAAGGCCACAGCAAGGCAAGTCTGCAGCACACTGCTCCAGGACCTTCAGCGAAAGTCAGGGCTGGCCCACAGGGAGAGCCCCAGGGCACATCCATCCTACACCTTTCCCTGCTATTTCCGAGGTGGGGCACTAGGGATGCCACAGACTGCCACCAGCGGTAAACGTAAGGGCGCCTTCGGTGGGCACAGGAGCACAAGTGCAAATCCCAGCTGCAGCGGGTGACACTGAGCTCCACCCCCGCTGCGGGACACTTGCTCTGGGTTACCCCTGCCGAGGGACCCAAAGCGAAGAGCGCCTCCTGGATTTCCTGGCATCTCCCCGGTTTGCACCAACTGTCAAAGGTGAGCCACAGCCTGAATGCTTCGTCTCCGTGGCAGTGGCAAAGAGGAGTCCCCAGCCAATTCCAGGTTCCCGTTCCTGTTCCACTCACACAATGAACCTAGGCCCTGTCCACAGTCAACCACCTCTCCCATGGCGCCATAATCTCCACAACGGCTAGCGGGATCCTCTCCCAGGAGAACCAGACCTGGTCCTGAGCAGTGTCCGGCCTCACCAGTGCCCACCGAGGCAGGGACTACACCAACCAAAACAGGGCTGAGGGGAAACTGTGTTGGGTTGGGTCGGGCCGGGCTGGGCCAGGCCAGGTGTCCCGTCTGTTGCCAACACAGCCAACAAACAGGTTGGGATCGATTCAACCCAGGTCTCGTCCAGCTGGACCTACCCCACTAAAACCACCTGCCTAAGGCTCTGGGCACAGGAAGCTGCCCTAAGATGCATCCCTGGGTGGCCTGACAAACTTCAGCACATGAACGTGCACCCGCGCTCCTGCCATCTCCGCATGAGGACACGTACCGGACCTCAGTCATGATGAGAACGACGGTTTGCAGTTCTCTCATTTTGTTCAGCTTTTCCAAGGAATGTTTTTTGGGTTATCATCATTGATCCAAGCATGCAGAGAGACGGCTCAGGGGCCTACCTGTCCAAGGGGGACTACACAAGACCTCCACCTAGAGGACCCCCAGGGCCTTGGGAGACACCAAGGTCCGAGGCACTGTGCCCCGGAACCCCGTCCACGTGAGGTCTGAAACCCCGTGTTATGTCTCAGCCCTGCAGAGACAGAGGTCTTCAGGGCTCCATAATCTCTTGACAAAGACCTTTCCAGGCTGCACCATGAAATTATTACCACCCTCAACCATCCGTCCACAGGCCCAGAGCTCAGCAAGAAGACACAAGGCTTGTAGCACTCCACGGCTGCTCCACTCCTCAGGAAACAGGAACACTTGGCTGATGGCACGCCCCATAACAGCAGCTTTTCCTGAGCAGTGGAGATGCAGAAAAGCACCCATGAGGACTGGGAAAGGCATCTGTTTCACTGATTTCATGCCACCCTGGCCTGCGCTCTCCCTCTGGCGGGGAGAAGAGCTAAGCCTCCAGCACCCTTCTGCTCCACAAAGCTGAGCACAAAGCTGGGTGCAGCTCAGGGATCACTTCGCCAGAACTCACCTAGGCTGGCCCGCCCCACTCAGGACATGTTCCTAAGGGCCCTGGGAACAGGCCGCCCAGGGAGGAAAGAAACCCTGGGTGCTGAAAGGAACGTGAGCCTCTCCAAGTCAACACCTGCTCCTGCAGTCCCTGTGTGAGGCTACATGCCAGACCTCAGTCACGATGAGAACGACAGTTTGGAGTTCTCACTCATTTTGTTCAGCTTTTCCAAGGAATGATTTTGGGGTATCATCATCAATCCAAGCACATGCAGAGGTGCCTCAGCTGCCTGTCCATCCAAGGAGGACTGGACATGCCCTCCAACTAGAACAGCTTGAAGGCCCTGGGAAACCCAAGGCCATGCTGATGTCCCAGAAACATAGTTCACAAGAAGAGGGAAATCTCTTGTATGGAGTGTGGGCCATTTAGGCCTGCAGAGATGGAGATGTTGGCATCTCCATAAGTTCTTCATGAAGTAATTCAAAAGGTACAAAGGGAAATGCTTACCATCCTCAATGGTCTAGAGGACTGGAGCTTAAAGGGAGGATAAAAGATTTGCAGCTCTCCAAAGTGTCTCTGCTCTCTAGGAACCAGGAATATGCAGCTAAAGGCTGCCTGCCATGGCAACTCCCCATGAGAAGTACAGACACAACACACCATGCATCAGACTAGGGAATGTACAGAGAGGGGTCAGTAGCAGAGAAAAGAAGATAAAGGCCTCATTTGTTTTCTAACTAACCCTAAGAAAAAAGAGTTAAACCCTTACTAAAGAAAGTCCTGGAAACAGTCTCAATGCAAGGGTAGAGACGGGAAAAATAAAAGACAGGCACCAAGTGGCCTTAGGACTTGCACCAGAACACCACAGGAAAAGCTGACAAGCAAGGCACAGAGAGAACCATGTGCACAAAACCAAAAAGCTGAGACAGGCTTCCCTCCCCACCTCCATTTGAATGCAAGGGAGGCAGAAGAAGAAGGGAGCTGCCTAACTTTGGGTGTACATACAGTGTACACAAATATATATTCACATGTATGCACAAACATATGCACAGACATTAGCCTGGGTCACTATATTGCTACAACAGACAATTACACATCCCATTACTAACTCTAAATTCACCATGAATAAGGGATCTTCAAACAGTCAGCTACTCATCCCACAGATAAGGCCCTGTTGATGTCACCTTGAGTTGGGGAAATGGGGAACCGCATGGCAAGCCCAACCTGTGGGTACTGGACTTCAGTGCGAGAGAGCTGAGCCTGGCCTGATTCGGATATATGTCACATCACACAAGCCAATGTAGGCCAACAGTAACATGGGACAGGGACACCAACGAGGGACAGCCACACACAGAGAGATCTCATGACAGAGCCCAGGGAAAACAGCCACATTCCTACTACAGGCGACCAGCTTGGAAAACTAGATCTGAAGGGCATTACATGGGACCTCTGTTTTAAAGGCAACAGGAGAAGAACCTGGAAGCACAGTCATCTCTGACCTTCAGCAAAACACAATGGGAGCCACCAGGGGGAGCCACAGGTCACACGGGCCCTCAGCCCCTCCCAGTCACCGCTCAGGGGAAGCCCCAAGGGTCAGGAACCCACTGCTAGGGACAGAAGACAGGAAAGCACCTCTAGGTGGTGCAGCAAGGGAGAATCCGGCTAATGCAGGATATGGAGCTGCGCACAATCCCTCCATGACACTTGCTCAGCTGTTCCCTGCCACAGGGGTGAACTCAAGGCTTCTGCAGTTCCTGACATCAAGGCTGTCTGTGAGCCCCACCAACAGGAGGTTAACACAGAAGGGCCTCGTGTTTCCTCCCCATGATGTTGCTGAGGGGCTGCCCGTGTCTGGTCCCCGGTTCCTGTTCCATGTAAATCATCGCCCCAGGTCCTGTCTATAGTCATGAACTCAGACAGCAACACCTCTCTTACAGGACGGGGCTGACCTCTCCGGTCATGGGCACTGGACGCTGACCACAGTCAAGACTCAGCAGTTCCCACCATCCAATGCACCAACAAGCAAAGACGGTGATGGGTGCACTCAGCAAGACTTCCACAACTTCCCTAGCCTACATGGAACACATGCAGCTGGGATTCATTCACCCCAGGACTGGCCTAGCTGGGCCCAGCCTGCTGAGCACTAAGCCCTGAAGGCGAGGCAAAGGAGAGAGTGTATGAACTTCCAGGGAAGCTGCCGTGGCTACTCACCTTTGCTTTCTGACACGGGGTCTCACAGTAGGCCTCCTCCACCTCAAGGAAACAAGACAGAAAGAAATAGTCTCAGAAAATTCTCCATCATACAATTATAAAAGCACAAAAAATGGTCCCAGTGTCCATATTTCACACAGACATGCAGAGTTCCATTCTTGAGCCCAACACTCATAAGGCTGCTAACAAATGCTTGCAAATTCTTCATTCAGTCTCTTATTTCCTCCCACTTAACTCAAGGAACTATTTCCTACATACAAGAGTCTATCTGCAATTCAGTTCACAGTGTAAACAATGAAGCAAGGCTTGGGTCACTGAGCACGCACATTAAAGGTGCAACAGACAGAAACCAACACCCTATTCTGAGAGAAGGAAAACACATTCTCCTCCTGCTGTTGCACTGTCATTAAAGCAGCACACCAACTAAAGCCAGGGATGGAGACCCTTATTTGTCCTGTCAGGGCGTCACACATCTGGACCTCAGACTGACATCTAAAATCAGTCCCTCAGCGTCCTCAGGGAATTGTTCTCCTCATTGATCCACACAAGCACCCTCCCGACAAAGAGGGGCCTCCAAAGCCAGTCTTCTTTTGTGCAGCCTTCTCTATTGCCTTGGCACTGAAGAGCAGTAAATAAATAGCCAGGAGACATTTTGTTAGGGAGCTGAATAAGGGAAGGCTCAGGCACATAGCATGAAAACTATAACCTCCAGTATTATAACAAAGTTAGAGAACATGTATTGAAATTTGAAAACATCCTTTTTATCCACTGAAATTTTAAAAACTATACTAATATTATAAACTATGAGTGCAGAAGAAAATATGAGTATAAACCACTATATTTGCCCTGAGACAGATAAAAATATTCAATATTTAGCCTACTTGAATTTCACTAAAACATTATCTTCAAGTTACACAAAAAGTCAAAGGAAGCAAAGAGATCAGGGATTCTCCAAAAGAATTCAAGAGACTTCAAATATAAGTTTTAAAATGCTAAAAAATACTAATGAGCATTCTTGGAATTAAGTAGGGACCCTCACAGAGAGAAAAATCTATGATATGAATGTTTTCCCGACAGCCTGAGAAATGAACCCACCAGCCTTGGAGGTGTGCTATCACTAGAATACACACAGACAACTTCAAAAGCATCACAGCCATGGCTCACCTCATTTCCCTAATGTACTGTGACTCGTTCCAAACTTTAATCTGCAACAAAATATCATAAAAACAAATCATGAAATTCTTAAGAAAATACAAAATGCGATCCTATAGTACTTATTACACAGTGATCTCTACACGGGTCATAATAGGTCCTTTCTCATTTCATTTCTTCACTTGTTTACACCTGGAACTGTTATTCTGCAGTCAATACTCATCTAAACCATGCTATGCACTTAATGGCAAAACCATTTTCTCCCATGAGAAATTCCACACTTTTAATTATTAATGAAGAAATAATGAAAAAAAAATGCCTGGATATACATAAAATGAAAGGCATCCAGTAGTTGTGTAGGGAGACCAATACTTTGAAAGTAAGAGATAAAAATTTCAACATCACTTTCAACAGTATTTGCAAAACTATAATATGCTGGACCATAGATACATTTGATAACTTTGTACAAAACATCATAAACAAAAGAGTAAAATGGATGATGAATTTTATCACAATGGAGATTACACAAAAAGACCTGGAGCAGGATGGGACATGACAGGACTGTAACATAAATGAAAGAGGTCAGATGGAGAAAGCATCTTCCATCTTTACTCAAGAGTGGAGCTCAAGGAAGAAGCCCAGGAGGAAGGCAAGGGGGAGCGAGCACAGGACACCGTAGGATGGTGTTTGGGGTGAACTGGGGACACAAGATGCCATGACACATTAGATCTTTGCTGTTTCTTCTTTTTTCTCTTACTTCCGTATCTGGATTTGAGGAGGGAGAGGGCCAGGTTTAAAGAAACCATACTACTTATCAATTATACAACAACCCAATGTGCACTATATGGTGTTTACCACAAAACTGGCTGAAAAATAAAGACACAGGCATGTTAACATTCCAGGATGTAGGGGAAAGGTTTACCATGCAAACATAAATCAAAAGAAAAGTGGAATGGAAGGTAGATGAGGGCAAGGAAAAGCTTCCTGAAAAAAGGACACCTATGGAGTTAATTCACCTAGAAAATACTACAGATCCCAAAGTGTTTGCAACCAACAAGGACTTCGTGAGGAAGCCAAAGCAAATAGAAGTGAAAACCCCCTGTAACAGATGGGACTCTTACCACTGTTCTCTCAGGAAGCACTGGCAAGAGGGGGCAGGAAACTCACACATATAAAGACCTGACAACAAGTATGTATGTCCTATACGACGTCAGATGTGATATACCACTTTCTTTAGCTATCCTTTCTGCATCTTAAGTAATCTTGTAGAACAAGTATTTTGCATTCAAACCGACACTGATCCCATGCCATATCAAGCAGGTAAAACAA